GAGAAGTCCAAATGTTTTAATGATGTTACGAGTGCCAATGATGGAGTTTAACTAGTGCAGCAACCAAGTCAATGATAAAGCTAACAAGTAGGGCAACGCTCAGATGGCCATCTGCCAGGCAAATGGATTGTTAGCAAGCCACAACGTCAAGTTCTCAACCTTTGTTTTTCTGTCCAACTCCAAAATTTTGGACACGGACACGGCACCCATTGTTCTCGTAAGGAGATCTTCCTGCAACTAAAACTAGCTTCAGACATTTTAATGCACAACAGGATCGTCCACCTACCTCGAAGTATATAACTCAATAAACTCGCAATAGGAAATACCAGAAAACAAGTGATCCTGTACTTCAGAAGCTATATACGCTCAGAAGCATCTACCCATGCGGCACAAATACTCACAACCACAAAAAACTTCGAAGAAAAAGCTTCCAGATAAATCTGCATAGATAGAACACCAAGAAGTAACTAGGAGAATCAATTCATTCACTTGTGAAACTAAATTTCGCAACTTCACAACAGTTGAAGGTGCTACAAGTTTATACACTTCCTTGCCAGATTAATTATGGCCCACACAGAATAACAGAACGGGTTCAGACAGTAATCAAACAGAAACAAGAACTCAGAACACCTCAACATCAAAGTGATCTCTTAAAAACCCTGAGGCCACATATTATCAAGAATCTAGTATAAAATGATTTAACGATGAAAAGGTACGGTAATTCATGATCCTCCCTTCGCGCTAAGTCAATATCATGTCCATTCCCTATATAAGATATAAAAGCCTCAAGCAACTCCTTTGACAAACAGCTACTTGGGGCCAATATCCTTCAGGGCACAGATCTGCTCCTCTCCCATGGCACACATCACTGACACAACCAAGTCCTTTCCCTCAGAGAATCCATCCTTGATCTGTACAGATACCAGCAAATTTCATTAACTACACAGCAATGCATGTGCACAAGAACTTGAAAAATACTGTAACATCAAATTTGAAGCCTCCCTCCCATCTCCCTATTGCTGAGGCATTGAGGGGAATCAGCCAAAAAAAGGGTAACAATACTGATTGAGCTTGGAAAAGAACACCCCAACGGTGTTCAACAAATGAGTTATGACCTCAATATCCAAAACTAGAATCTCGAAACAGTTACGTCTTCAGCCAAGTCAGAGCTTCATAAGTCATTGCATAACAAATTCATGAAAGCATATAGCCACATTTAGCATTTCTAGAATTGATAACTACAACATCAGAAAACATACCTTCCTTTTCCTTTACTAACATTCTATATGTAACCAAGGATCAAGTCAAAGTGAATAAATGAACTCCGACAACTGTCTAGTAAACCATACCAAACAAACCATACCGACAAGTTGACTGCACCCCACCTATTCAGAAATTAGCAAAACGAAACATCTACTACCTGTGTAAGCAGATTTTCATCGGTTGGAAGCCTCAGGTCATCCTTAGTGTTTCCATTCTCAGTGAGCAAGCTGACCTGCGATGTTTCAAGTGTTGAATTAGCCTACACCCCATCAGGGAAAGTATACAAGTAAACAATGGGATAAAGGGGCATCGGCACTTACAAATCCATCCTCAGAAATATCAATGAGCTGGTAGTCGGTACGATTGACATGGGGCACCTGTAAAATAAGACAGCCAGTTAAAATCCAGAAAAAAAAAAATTAAAGGGGAATCGCGTATTTAAATATGGCCAATGGTACAGTGGCATTTCAAGACGAAGCGGAACAACGTACATCACAGTTGTGGGAAGAAGGAACAATATCTTCAAGCTTCTTTCCATTAAAGATATCAATGCCCACAAAGTGGCATTTAGCATGGCCGTGCTTGCCAGTCTTGGAAGTCGAAACTTCAACAACCTATAAGATAGGAAATGATACAACAAAAAAGACTATATTAGTACAAGGTGAACAAGAAGAACGCCAAAGCTCACTTCTTATTCTGCGTGAGATCATTACCAAAATTTTGCACACATCTACATAACAGTACAAATAATGTTCAGTTTTGCTTCAAACAGAACTCTTCACTCAAATCTGATAAACTGTCCGCTATCAGTTTTTCAGTGTGCTCCAATAGAAAGGTTACTAAATTTGAGAAATTAACCATCAAAGAAAGCAATCAATTTCATACGAGAAGATGAAACTAATAAGATAAATAAATAGATTAGTACTTACATATGCTACAGAAAGCTTTCATGATTAGGACATAAAAATCCAATTAACTAAGCCTCATCAAGTCAAAACCTTCTCAAACAAGTACCCGACAGCAGAGCAATTAAAATGACGTCAGATCTGAACTCACTCAGATTATAGGAAATAGCTCACTAATCCTAATTCGAAAGAAATATTCTGTTTATCGATCCGTCTATGCAACTAATACACCATCCAATCTCCTAACTTAGCCTTTTTATTTCTTCAGAAAAAATCAAAACAGACTTTCAGTTACTTAATTCTAATTTTCTAAACAACGTAGTTTTCACGTGCTCAAATTTTCATTTCAAAAATTCTATTCTTTTCTATCAGAATCTAACCTCCAATTGACCATAAACAAATCACTGTATTCAATCAAAAGCAGAACATCTGAAATATGCTACTCAAAGTCCAAATTAAACATATGCACTCAGAAAATCATTATAAAAACTGGAAAATTAGCTTAAAATAATAAAACCTTGCAAGGGCGGTTTTTGATGACGATGTAACCGTTCTTCCGGATAGTACCGGCCTGCTGAGGGTAAGTCTTCGAAGCTCCGGCGTCGGCCTTGGATTCGAAATGATGCTCGTCGTCCGACATCTTCTTCTCCTTCGCTTCGAAGAAAGAAAGCTCAGCTAAAAAGCCAAATTCAGAGAAACAGAAAAGGTACGAAAAGTTGAGAGAGAAATAGCAGAGGCTGAGGGCACAAGCGTGAGCGTCCGACTTTATACCGGAGGAGATTTTAGGGTTTTTGAAATGTGATGTAAAGAGGGTGAAGTCCGGATGGAATCTGGGCCGTTTGATGTTTATCTTTTTTTGGATTAGATATTTTATCATTTTTTGATGTTTGCGTCGAAACGACGCTGTACTTTAACAAGACTCCCCCAATTACTTATTTTTATTTTTAATTTTTTTTAATCTTTCCATCCTTTCCACTATCAACTGTTAGGCATGATGGATTTGACTCTAATCACCTACTGCCACAGGGTTAGAGCATATTTTCGACATCATCGACCGCTTATGGGAATTCTTAAACATTGTCCATCCTCACATTAAGACCGATCTTTTGTGAAGGAGTAATTCGTTCTTACCAATTAAAATGTAATATGCGTGAAATACGTATGTAATATGCGTGAAATATATATAAAAATTTGATGTTTATAATTTTTTGATTAGACATTTTATCATTTTTTTTATATTTGCATCGAAACGATGCGGTACTCGAATTGAATCAGGCTCTTACATTTATTTAAAATTTTTATCTTCTCACAATTTTCACCCTTAACTGCCAAATACGAATGATTGGTTCTCTTTCGTTTTTCTTATGCAAAAAAATTTGGGTAAATTTCGCTCCAATCACTACTATTACAGATTAAAGCATATTTTCGAGATCATAATAAGTTTGGGTGAGATTCCTGTACATCACCCACTCTCGTATTAGCAACGACTTTTGATAAGAAAATGGCTCAATTTTACCAATTTAACAACTTGTGTAGGCTGACTCTCTTTCACTGTACTGGGTAGGGTCAGCCGCCCGAGGAGACTCTTTTGAGAGAGATGTTAGGGTGTATCAAATCGGACTTTGTAATCCTACTCCTGTTCTCTGAGCGGGGATCGCATGTATCAAAATGCATGATTATCGACAATGGCTAATTTTAACCGTACAAAGTGAACATGCAATGAAATGGTAGCCTTTCGTTGTGGCGGAAGGGTAGCATTAGCATTATTAATTGTTGAGGTCTCATCAATCATTCATGCATGTTGTACTTCTTATCAGTTAATTATTTTAATTAATTATAGATTTTGAATTTGAATTATTAATTTTTTCTAATATTTGTTGTTTATATATTATGTTTTTAAGATTTTTTAAATAAAAAATAAGATTCAGAATTTACCAAAATATAACATTAGCCGATTACTATTCAGCCTTTACAAAAACTACCAAATGAGATAAGTTTGTTTATATATCAAATTTTTTCAAGTTTCTCGGGATCAGTTCAGCCGGTGAATCCTCGAGGTATTCCTCGTGAGGCGCGGTTCGATTCTGGCTTCACATATCGCTTGGGTGCTCTTGGGGACGGAGTACTCCAGGTCCAGGGAGATTAGTTTGGCAAAACTGGATACTTCCTGGATTGACAAAAAAAAAAAAAAAAGTTTGTTTATATATCAAATTTTTTCAAATAATATTTCCCTTGCATCCATCATAAACATATTTTTCGACTTATATTTTTATATTCTCAATCATTTTTTCATGTTACAAACATTACATCATAAAAAGTATTACAATAATAATTCCAAACAATATATTTCTAACAAACTTCAAAATTTTTTAATTTGAATTTGTTTCACAATAACCAGTTTTCCACCGGGAAAAAAGAAAGTTTTTTGTTTTGTAGAGTGATTATTATTATTATTATAATTATTTGGACAGGGTGCCGGATTTATTTCAGAAGCAAGAAGAGTCAAACTAGCTGTAAGCAGCCGATTCCTGTTCAAACGTGGAATACATAATAGTGGGAGTGTTTGGATACCAAAATTATTCTAAATAATATTTCGCTTGCATCATAAACACATTTTCCAACCTACCTTTTTATATTCCCAATCACCTTTTTATTTCACATACATCATATCACAAAAAGTATCATAGTATTTCAAATAATACACTATCCAAACAAACCCACTAGTAGTACCTGTTGTCATAAGCAGTAAGGTTAAAGAGATGAGGAAGAATCATCAAATCGAAATCATCAGATAGGTACAAGAAGTCAAAATTCATGGATGGTACACACCACTCATTTCGTCAATTGCCACAAAACCAGGTTTCTTCTCAAAATTCCTATTCGATTCGACTATGTCTTCATTCAACAGTTCAATAACGTTAACATCACAAATAACTGTAAAAAATATGGTAAAATAGAGAGTTTAATAGTTGAAGACAAAAGCGTAAATTAGTACAAGCAAATTCTAAAAGGTCAAAGTAACCACCAGCTCTGCAGTTAGTAGTCGAGCATTAAAACGCTCGCGGACCACATCCAGCGTCAATGCACTAGCTCCACGGTTTTTGCGAAACGGGAGCTTCCTTCCAAGGACAAGGACTAATGCCATTCGGTTTTAAGTTTCCAAACAACCAGAGTTGCATAGTGCACTAGTAAGCAAATGTCAGTGCTAAAGACGGAAGGAAGGCACAAATCTCATCCCACTCGTCCGGTTGGAGGGCTTCACTCTGTTGCAGGCTTCAGCAGAAAGACATTCGTGGAATTGTTTCCGAATCACTCAAAAACGTGATTCAAAAAGTTCCACAGAGAAGCAAGGCAAAGTATTGGATCGATGGTCCGCTAGATGGCGTAAAAACTTCATACTCTTTTGCAGTTGCTCCTATTTTGAACTCCCAGCAGAAAGGGATGAAATGTTGAGGTCATTGATTTCATGCAAGAATATCTGAGGTAGCTCCTCTCTGACATGGCAATGCGCAATCGATACAAGTAAATCTACCACCTTAAAATCAACTTACTGATGCCATGATGGGATTATGAATGTTGACTTCTAGCATAAGAAGATACCTAAAACTTCACATATTTCCTCAAATAAATGAGTTCCAATAAACTACGAGACTTCTATCATCCAAACTCACTAAAGCTAAGCAAACCAATATGATTCGTAATTCTGCCACAATCAATTTGAAATAGGATTTCTTCATATGTCAAGAAATCTGAGCTACAACTGAAAGACCCTAAGGATAATCATAGGGACATTTAAGTTTGAAATCAGTTTGAGTATTGGTGGAAAATTTCTAGTGTTAAGACCATGACTAATTTACCATGGAATATTCAAGCACATGAAATGGCTCTAATCCTACTTTGAGAAGTTGAGTTATATAAGAGCCTGAATTCACACTCTGCAATCACAATAATTTGAATCCTCTCGAGAAGATGGATCCATGATGATTATAGAGGAGAATATGAAATCTTGTATGGAACAAGTAGACCACTTTAGAAATACTAAAGGGTATTACATTTTGGAAAACTTAATGAGCTCTACAATAACTACCAGCATGCTCCTCCGATTCCAAAGCTTTGCATGTGAAAAAGGATACTCTCAGTAAACCAAATATTTGAATAACTAGAGGATTACTAACCTTTCATTAGCTTCTTGGTATGTGTAACTCGATGCAACTGCTAAAAGTAGTCCATCATAGCTATAAGAAAGTGAGGCAACAGCGTTGGGAAATCTCGGCAACTGCAGAGAGAGCGGTAGCATTTTGAAAGAAGTTATTTAGAAGTAGAAGGTAAAAAATAATTGAAAACAAGACAAGAAGTAGAACAGTTTAGCAAAGAAGAAAAGATTTTCAATCTAGCACGTTCAAGTCAGACATGAGAAGTAGAAATAAGAACAAAGTGCAGACACAGACATGACGATTCAATATTTTCAAAGCTCCAAAAGCTACTTTGGCAAATGTAAATGCCATTGATTGATTCACAAAAGCATGAGAATTACCACAACGCAATCCATGTCACAGTAAACACATTTTCTAGAATACTAACCATTACATTTACATATACCTACAGAGCTCAAAGCTTCATCCTAAATTTAGAGAAGATCCTAAACTCATGTAGGAGTAGGCACATTTTTCTACCACTCGATCAAATACTAGATTCTTAATTCAGAAAAGATTGCACAAACCAAAATTTCAACTCTGTGTTTGAATTCACCCTGACAGCAGCTGATGCAATCTCATAAAAGTGCACATAAAATGTACCTCATATAGTCTTTTCTTACTCTGAGCATCCCATGTTGAAGCGTAACCTTCATTATCACCAGTGACAAAAATAGTGGGCAGGCTGAAACATGAGAAACATGCGAGTAGTCTCATATACTAAGGGAAAGTTCACAATCTATCAATTCAGAACAATAAGATTATAGCAAAGAATCACATACCATGGATTAAATGCAATATCATTCACAGGGACAATATGATGCCTTCCATCCTTTTTCTTCGGATGGCATCGGAAAGCATATCTGCAAAAGTTTAGAGTCAAAGGCATGTCTTTACCACATATCATCTGAAAAGTGCAAAAAAAAAATTATTTTTACTAAAACATGAAAGAAAAATTAAAATCGTAAAGACTCAGAAATCTGGACTGCTACTTCTGAAATAAGATGAACAAAGTACAATACAAAAATTTCTCTACCTAGTGCAGCATGTTAAGTCATTTATAAAGGCATTATAGAGTTACAAATCTGAAGTTAGTTGTGAAATTATGCTTCCAACAATTTAAGAGAGTACGAAACATGAACAAAAGATTGGAAACCCATTTAGTGTTTTTGGTGACAGAGCTTAAAATTTAAGTATTCCCTTTTGTACAATAACATGGTGCTGCAAAAGGGAGTTTATAAGCCATTAACACACTTCATGAGGAAGGGCATCTAGTATACAACGAATAATACCACTGAAATCCGCATACCAACAAAAGGATGTACTAATTTCTGAGATCTCTGTAGTCCATCATGACAATTGACCTCTGTCTTATGCTTAAGTTTTAAACCAAGAGGAACAAGAAATTCTTTTGACCCAGCAAAGAATTTTAGAAGTAGATTGAAGTGGATACTAGTAAACAAGATTCCTTTTACCAAAAATGTATAATAGCTTTGGAGATGAAAGTATAACCATAATAGCATTACAACCAAACTTAATGAGACACAAGAGACAAAACCTTTAACATGTGAAGGTAGACCTTCAGAAATCCGTTACCTTACAGGAACATTCAGTGCTTTAAACTACCAGAAATCATACATACTGACCTGCCACTCTTTGAGTTGCTATCGTTGACATACTCCAAAGCAACCCGTCCATCAAATGACCCAACTGCAAAGCCTGCATGAACAGGCTATTCACCTTTTAATGTCAAGAAGGATAAATAACTATTCAAATATAATATTTCCTTAGAAGTAATCTTCACCGTAAAAAGGACTATAATACTAGCACACCACAAATACAATAAATCTGCTGTCCTTATTTGTTACCAAGTAACTCCAAGACCAGAAATAATGAAGTTTATTTTGGCAGACATATCTCTTGCAACAAAGAACAATATCAGGTTAGGTTATCGTGAGTTGTCTGCTAGCTTAGAAAGACTAACATTGGAGATAATGATACTACGTGCATATTTTTAACGCACCTTCAAAACCAGGACGGACACATTTTATTTGAACGTCCATAAATGATTCTTTGGCTTGATCTAACTTGCTAAGCTTACGCAGGTCGTATGTGCTTACCGATGTCCCAACAGCAATCATCAAATGAAATTCCGAGAGGGACATGGACTCTACTTCTCCACCAAGATTCTCCAAGCATTGAAGAGACTTGACTAATCGCGTGTCCCAAAACTTTATCTTTTTGTCCCAACCAGCAGTGATTGCAAGACCTGTTACAATTGGGAAAGGGAAACATGTCATCGATAATAAGCAGCATCAAATCAAATTGTTAATCATATGCTCAGTGGTGCACAACGGAAGTAGGAGCAATTAAGTAACAAAAACGCTTCCATATGACCACGGCAGAGGATCTACCTACACCATAAAGATAAATTATTTCTACCACTCGATAACTTTTACGAAATCCAACTCCAAAGTGGACACAATAGCATAACAAAGACGCCTTTTTTGGAATTTTGATACGTACAAAAATGCACTAAGCAATTAAAACTTCAGAGACAAAAAGATAAACACGTCAACATATTGTAATCCGACAATACAGTTAACAAAATTCTGAGGTGTAAGTGAATCCCTCCTCATCACTCCAAGAAACTACCCACATGCGATCAGATTTATGCGGAAAGAGAAAAGCTTACTTGTTTCGTTTGAATACTCGACACAAGTAGCTTCATCATGATTTCCAATTCGATCTACATCTCCGGAATTCAGATCATACCTGCCAAAATTCTCCAATAAAAGGGAAAAAAAGAATTAAGTAACAAATCTTAAACAAAAAGGCAAAACATTAAAGCATCCAATCTCAATGTAACGCAAAAATAAGCAATATATCGATTTTCCATTTCTAATTTTGAAATTCAGAAGCAGGGTTTTTTTTTAAAAAAAAAAAAAAGAAAGAAAAAAGAAAAGGAGCTAGAGCAAGAGCAAAAATGAACCTGCGGAGCAACCCATCTGTTGCAGCAGAAAAAGCAAGCGAATCGTCGGCGAAACAACAATCGAGAAGTGGATATTCATCGGAAGCTTCAAGTCTTAGTTTACATGCATCCACATCATACAACCTAAGACTCTGCAAAGCTAAAAAGACGCCTACATTAGACTCGAAATTGGAACATAATTTCAAGACACAGTTGTCTCCATAATCTGCTATTATTGCCGAGGTAAAGCTTACGGAGTCCCAAGAAGAAATGAGGAGATGGTTGGAATGCGGGGCGAATCGGATCCTGGAGATGGCGTCGCGGATCGGGTTGCTACCGAAGCTTAAACAGGTTTGTTTCATGTTCATTGGGGGCGACTCTCAAAGTCGTTCAACCGCTGCAATTGCAAATGCAGTACTAGCGGTAACAGGAATCTTTTGCTGCTTGAGGTTCTCAGAACGACGTCGTTGCCGGAGGATTTGGGCTCCAAAATTTGAAATGCCGTGGCGCGATTCGAATACGTGTTATCTTCACTCTTCAGGATGGATGCCAGCGTCCACCATTACGACGCCGTATTGAGCTCGGGAAGGCTTTACAATGACGGGTTAGTTAAACAAAGTACCCTTCCTAAAGACTATGATATAGGAAATGGGGATTTCACACTATGAATTGTCGAAAATATTGGTAATACTACTGTAAAGAAGTTTTACACTTAAACTTCACATTGTTTTTAATCTTTCGCCTCTCCATTTCCTTCCATAACTCTTTTTCCTTTTCTCTTCTGACTTGATATCTTCCTAAAATTCCATTTTTCTACTTCATTTTCTCATCTATGAGACCAACCTTTGAAGGATTGAATCCGAGATGATTGAATAAAGATTTCTTCCCCGTTGGGGGAGGGGAAGGTAGGTAAACTTTTAAGGCTCATGTCATTCTTCATGCTACCAACCGAGCTCCAAATGTTCCATTTCTTGGCTAAACTCCTATGCAACATACTAAACACATGAAAATTTTCTGATAAGAGCTTGATCTTCTCTCTGTTTCCCTAAACTCCAAACTCGGCCCAGCATGGGACTGTTGAGCGTTCATAGCTTTTTCAGGTCACCAAACAACTGGCAGAAGTACTGCCCCCATGAGTATTCAACTACCTCTGCAAAATGGCCGTAAAGAAGGAAATGTGAGGTCAGATGAGCAGGATACAGCACAATGGGGAAATATTGGAATTTTCCAAGGCCTAATGTTTTTGCTCCTACAAACCAAGACACGTGCACTCCAAACACACCAGCCATGATGTGCACGAAACATGGATGCACGACCATTACTGCAAAGAAACGTCAACTTTCACATTTACCCATATTTCCAACGACCTAAGCAAGAAATTGTAAATATATACAAGAGTAGCAAGACTACAAGTTTGTAACAATTCTAGGAGATAGCAAAGACCAAAACCAAGTTAGAAATGATATCACTACTGGCAAACAACATAATTGCATTTCTTCTAATTCTTCTCTCCCTTCCTCCTTGCTTGGCAAAAGCTTCATCTCACAAGCTGAAGTCGTTGAATTTTTTATTTGGGACGTAGAAGTCGAACTTGACATCGACAGAACCAGAATTTTCTCCATTGTCTTTATACTCGATGTTAGTAATTGTTCCCGTAGGATCTTCCTCTTGATATTCTGGTCTGACACGTCTAACAGGAACTGTAACCGAGTAGACAGTCCCCAGGTCTGGATCTGTTGATACACTCAGCTGGACTTTATCTTGTGATTCTATCTCCACAAAATCAGATAAGGCAGTCACTATGTTGCTTACAATTTTCTGTTTTGCCTCATCACTCACAGCACATCGATCAGAGAAGAGAATCATCTTCAAGCGGTGCTTGGCTATGTTTGCATTGGAATTCCTTCTTGATGCAGGAGAAGGAAATATTATCTTCCAAGCCAAATTCAACCGCTCTAAGAAGTTCATGTTTATGGCGTTATGTAGGAAGTAGTCAAGTTCCTGGCCAATGGCACTTGAGGACAGCTTGTGTTCGCCAAAGATCCCAATAGATCGTTTGGAATGACAGCGCGTATTGTGGCCCTCAAGTACTGCACGAGACCATTTAGGCGTTGCGTCAAATACAGCAGATCCACCACCAGGGAAAGAACCAAAATCCACCTGTAATACCATAAATGAATAGGTACATCAATAAACGATACAGATGCTCAGTACCTATCAGAACAATTGATTAAGTAATGAGGCCCATTGGTCGATATCTGCTGTAAATGCTTGGGGGTACTCCCCCCTCCTTGTGTAGATTATTGCAAAATCAAATGAAAGCTATACTACTTGCACCCCAAAAAAAAAAGATATTTAATGAATTTATGTTCAGCAACTTTTAATTGTAGTATAAAATTAGTATTCACTCAGTGACATGTAATCTGCCCTCTGGAGGAAGTAAATTGGAACCTTGTTAAAATTCACATAAAGCACCATTCAATAGGTGTCGAAGACAACAAAAGACTCCTAAGCATGTTTAACCAGAAAGGATTCACGACATTCCAAACTAGTAGAAAGAGCACTAGTAGAATCATAAACCTTCTATTGACCAAAAGCACGTTGGAAGCAAACTCCTCTAATGTACACTTGATACTGAAATAGGTAATATTCAGTAATGCTTGTGATGACCAAATATCAAGATCAATCCATAGCATGCTTGGAATGCTTTTCACGCACTTGCATGTGTCTCAAGAAAGCATTTTACTTGCTCAAATACAAAAAGCTTTAAACAGTTCAGATTCCACAGTTATCGCAAACTCACAGATTATAACAACTCTTGAAGGAAACATTAGCTACTTGAAGCAATAAAAGAATAACAAAACAAAGGCATTAATTCACCAGCAGGTGAACTATATATGACAGAGTAATTCATGAGCAGAAACTTTAGAAGGATAATCAGCATAAACAAATTCAAAGCACAATCATAACAAGAAGCACCATATTATCAACAAAAAAAAAAAAAAACTTGATACCTCACTCTAAATTATAGATGCATACTCTTTGGCTCCCACCCATCTAAACTTTAGCTCCAAAAGAAAATGCTCAGTGCAACGCTGCACCACGTCTAAATTATGCAGCTAGACTCATCTATCGTATAATTCCTAATTTCCCATGAATGTTCCTTTAGAAAAAAGAAGAAAAAAGGTGTAGCATAAATCCAATATCATTAGTATTTAAACGTGAAATTTCGAAATTTTCCATATTTACTCGAAAGCATTAAAGGCATAAATATGACTAAAGCATAGAAGGGTTGGTTGGTAAAAAAAAGAAAGAAAGAAAGAAAAGGCCAAGCTACACAAAGAATAAGATCACACAACAACAAAACTGCGTTTCAATGAAATCACAACCGGATTACCATCTTAAATTAAGAAACGATTTATTAAGTTCACAAAAGGGGGGGAAAACACCCTTAAGCGCCATAAAGTTTTTTCCTTTATTTTTAAGCGCCATTAAGTTAGCACCTTGACATTAAACAAGCATCGCAAACTGAAAAGAGAGAATACAATTACAAAACGAAGAAAAGGAGCTGAAAGAAAACCTTGGAAGGTGGAAATGAGCAGCGAAGAAGAGGGTTGATGGAATGTGGGCCCAGCGCCGCAGAGACCCTCAAATCTCCCGATATCGCCATTCTTCTTCTCTTGATTGGGATTCAGGCTTGAGCTATTTATCGTTCAGTTATTTTTTCTTCTCCTCCAGCGGGTTTTGATAAATTTGTTCCAAATTGGGTTGGGTGATTTTCAGGTATCTTTTTGGTTTCACCACTGCTTTTGGGAGTTCTGGGTTGTGCACTAGTAGTGAAGTAGACTGGCAAGAGGAAATAATAAAGGGGAAGGGTGAACATTACGATGCCGCTTGGAGTTGTTTTTGTTGGGGGGGGGGGGGGGTTGTTGTTGGGGTGGGTTTGGAAAGAGAGAAAAGCGTCCAAAATATCCCTTACATTTTGCAATGAATTGTCATCCTCATTTTTGAAATATTTATTTTATATTCTTAAATTTTTTATTTTACAAAATTTGGTGGTTCGATCACTTTTTATCCTGAATCTATCATACAACTCATACGTAGTCATTCTTTAAAAATGAAAAGATTATATACTATTTGTAATTAAACAAATAAATTAATTTATATTCATTGTTGTTTCTAAAAAAGTAAAATCTAACCTCAACTATATTTTATTTTTCTCCTAAGAAAGTAAGATTTGACTCAATTTATATTCTCTATTTTTCTCTTAAACAAGTGGGATATAATCTTTTTATACTTCAAAAAATTTCACACGTAAATCACGTGGTATTTTAGACTAAAAAAGTGATTGAAAATTATAATTGGGATCGAATTTTGTTGATTTAAATATGTAAGGGATGTAAAATTAATATTTTAAAGGTAAAGAACAAAAAAATTCATTTAACAAGATATGAGAGACATCTTGAATGACTTTCTTAAAAAATAATTTGTAAAATTTCTCAAGAATGATATATAGTGACTGTTTCAGCAAAAAATCGAACTTGCGGCTGAAAGCTGAGACGAGCCAATATAGGGCCCAGCATTCTTAAACTTTTCAATTTGAAATCATCTTTGAAGTTGAACTTTTCTTCTAAACTTACAAGTACATATGTTCAAGAAATAGTAATAATCTCACTTTGTACCAAAGTAGTTTCACGGCAACTCAAGTAGCGTCAGAATTGGGAAGATTAAAGATAAAGTATTCGTACGTGCAAAATCTAATATAAATATAGTTGAAAGATTAATCAAACTATTTGAATCGATCTCGATTTAATAAGAATTTATTTAAATTTGATTTGTCAATAAATCAAATCAAATATAAATAATATTTTATATTTAATAACATTAAACCTCGATACAAGAACTTATTCAAATTCGATTCAACGAATGAACAAGTCAAACACTTCCTAATCGTGAATTTCTCCGCTTTTACCTCAGCAATCTATTTTTATACATTTTGTTGCCCAAAACTTTGTTCTTTTTTGGATCAGGTCCAATTGCCAGGCTCCAGCCCAAATAGGTCCAGAGGAAAGTAATAAGGCTATAGCCCAAACAATAGAGGCACTGCTGACATAGTTAAGTCCATGAGGAATCTCTACAAGATGGAGTTACATTCTCTCTCTAGAATTTGATGTCTACAAATTACTTACTCGGGGGTGGAAACTTTCTCTAGATATAACTCCCCCTATTTTTGCAGGTCATTTCTTGAGATAATTGAGATGTTATTTGGCATCGAATAATAGGACCACTTCGTAAAACCATCTTGGGTTTCACTTATGATAAAAACATCCAAATCATGAAACAACAAGAGGAAACTTTACGGCAGGCCCCTAAATTATTAGCTTTACATGGTTTTAACCTCTCAACTATAAATTGTTACAAATAAGTCTTTGAACAAAAAAAAAAAAAAAGTTTAGCTTAAGGACTTTCATCAATTTTGGACATTAAATGAAACTGAATTAGGGGCAAAACTAACTAAATATAAAAATCAACCCATAATTTGATTAAAAACCAAATATCTTAAGTCAACTAAAAACATGAACTTTAATGTCTTTCCATCTTCTTTCATTTTTCACCTTTTCTGACTCTAATTTGATGAAATAATCAGACGACAAGGACTTTTAAGCTGTTTTCATGTTTTTTTTTTTTAGTTTGCTTCTAATTTCGTCATCTCTTACGGCCAAAATTGACGGAAGTCTTTAAACTAAATATTTTTTATTCGAGGGCTTATTTATAATAATTTATATAATTGAGAAGTCAAAATTGTGCAAAGACAATAATTTAAAAGCTATCAGAAACGTTTTCTCAAATAACAATGTAGCGCTTTCGAAATAAAATGTAATGCATGTAATATAAAAAAGCGATTGTAAATGCCTTTGCTTCACCCTACTTTCTAGCCCATGTGACTTTTATTCTTTTCCGTGGCAAATCTAACGACTTCTGGTTTTTGAAAGACATTTACTGTCTTTTCATTATTTTTCTAGCAAAGAGGTAATTGAGTATTGACCTCGAGGGTCAATTCATGAGACATCAGCACTTTATACACGCACATGCATGATTATTGCGTTTATCGCATTTTTTCCGTGATACTGCGA